TTGGAGAAGATAGCTATTTCTGGCACAAAATAGAAACAAAAAAATACATGCACAAATTGCGAAGCGCATCTGCCCACTTGCAGTTCGCGGATGCGCGTGTTGAAAATTGTGGAGACTAGGGTGCCTTCATGCGCGCTTCGCATAGAGTGATGCCAACTGCCTGTTTTCCTTTGCCACACCCCATTCCACCGCCTTTTTGTTCCTCTCATTGTTTCCCCGTGCGCCGGAAAGTGGCCTTTGTGTCCCTCGTTCCTCCCATCCGAGGGGGAAAATGCTAATCCTCCCTCCATGCGTTCCACAGCGCTGCTCCGTACTTGTGAGATAAGGTGCTTGTTTCCGGGAGGGTTATAAGCCCCACAGATTATCGCCGAGAATCAAAATGGCTGCTGGTTTGCCAGCGAGTGGAATTACAAAGAGTGGCATCACCCTAGCAAAGCGCGCATGAAGGCTCCCTACTGGAGACCGTCCCCACCGTCTTCCAGCCGCTACCTTATCGTGTGGCCATGGTGCACGCGATCCCACTTTCTGTGTGCGTGCGTGCGTGTGTTTCGCGGGCTCGACTCCGTCACCCCTAACCTGAGAGTGTGGAGGAAGCTAAGAAGCTGGGTGAACCAATCGCAGGTTTATTTTTAATCACGTGATCACAATCTCTCCCGTAACCACGCGCGGAGAGCGCTGCAGGTGATCACTGGTCCTGCCGGCGCGTAGCTCTCCCGGCACTGTCAGCTTAGGAATGCGCAGTGTCCTCCTTTCTTAAGGACGCCGAGTCCTCTTCGCTCACTAAGGAGAGATTTGAAGAGATTAGTGACGGCGTGGGGGAAAACGTGAGGGGAACTGTTCTTTCAATGCCCTCTCTCGCCCTTTCCCAAGCCGTTCCGAGCTCGTCGGCGCCGACCCTCCCCTACACACTTCTCTCTCTCAACTTCTTTCGTTTGTCTCTTCTGGTATTTTTTTTCAGTTTTCCAGAAACCAATGCAGTAGATATTGCTTAGACATGATAACTCTACCGCAAGAGGACGAAAAGGGACTGACAGACACGAAGATCCGAAATCAGCTCGGAGCCTAATGTCAAAATTAAAAAGAGACAATGATAAATCAAATGCGGAAAAAAGGTGCTAGACTCTAAATCAAGACCAAAATCCGGCTAGACAATCCGGCTAAACTCTAAATCAAAACCAACATTGTCTTCTGCTATCAGTGCCTTGGCGCCATGTAGGAGGCATCTGGGCTCTTATTGTGGCACCAGTAGTGCCGTAAAGTAATAGATCCGTCATTGTATAACCACATTTCAGAATAGTGTCTTGTTCGAGTCAATCACAAAAAAGTTATTCACCTGACATGAGGTGCAGTCCACAAGCACGTAGTTATTATGTTGACTCTATAATGCGGACATCGTTTTTCATTATTGTTCTTTTTTTCCAGTTGGCGGTTTTGATGAGCACATATCGCTGGCGACTCCTTAATATGCACAAAGAAGGAGCAAAACATCGCCATTAAGTTCTGTACCTTCTTATTGTCTTGTTCTCTTTGCAGAAAAGCACCTTTGACAAAATAACATAAAATCGACAAGCGCTCGAGCAATTTCAGCTTGTTGAGTAAAAACGAACACGCCTAAACCAGCCTATTCCAACATGCTTCCACTATTAAGCTAATGGTATTGTCAGACTAACACACACTGTATATGTGTGTGTTTGTGTGACATATGCCACTGTGTTCTTGAAATGACGTTGAACCAATAGTACTAACAGGAAAACAGTAACCATTATAAGCTCGTGTTTATCCAACATTGGCAAGCAAATGCTACAGAGAAGCCAACAGTGTCCATTTTATGCCAGTCCCCATAAAATATTGGAATGCCAACGGCACAGACAGGCCAACGTTGACCATTTTATTCCAGTGTTCATCCAATGTTAGCAAGCAAAGTGTACTTACTCAAAGGCCAACATAGACAATATTGGGAGCAGATTGGCTAAAGTGGACCATTATTGTGACTTTTTTGCCAATGCTCTTCCAATATTGGCCAAACACCTAGCGCTGCCTGGGATCTTCGTCCCTTCGAATGCAAAGAGTTTGATCAACCCTCCTAACAAGATTGGTGATGATGTGGATAACTAAATCACACATCAATGATGTCGTACTCGCTCTAACAGTGTTGCGCAGTGAATGACCAACATTGTTTGCTCAAAGATGACATCGGCACTGTTTCCGTGTTTTACTTTCAAAGGAGAATGCCGGTCTCCAAGTTTTACCACTACTGTTAATGGTACAATTTAGCACATCGCACGAACGTTGCAGGTTAGACAAAAACCTTTGAAGTCTAAAATGAAACGAAAAAAGCTATCGCTTGCTAGTGCTAACAGTGTCGCGCAATGCACGGATTGCAACGCGCCCATGACAACTTATCGACCACAATGCTTCTGTTGCTGCCCGTCGTCATGACAAAGTTGAGTCGATGCGACCAACGTTCAAATTATTACCACTACCATCACACACTTTTTAAGCGGTCAGAGCGCTGCGTGTAAGGAGGACAGCTCGCTGACGATGTACGAAGGGCGCTTTGTTTACTTCGTTAAGTTCTTGGCAGACTGTTAGAGAGCGGATGTGTTCAAATTCGTCAACGAGGGTGTTTCATACATGGAGTTAGGGGATGCCTGATTTCTATATTTTGTCTGCAACAGTAAAGGTCCCGTAAGGGCCCAGGCAGGTGAGGACATATCACAGAGGAAAGGCCATAATTATATAAAAAAGTGACACATCTTCCATACGACATGGCACCAAGAACAAATAATAATAAATTTCATCGGGCAGTCTGTAAATGTACTACTTTACTCTCTGATAAAATGTTTTCGGGCAATGGGCTAAGGGCATCTTTAGGTACGCAAAACCATACGCCGATGGTTCTTGAAAAAAAAAAAGATCTCTTAAAAATGTTATTGTTTCGGCGGTATAGATGTAGCTGCCTACCGTGATTAAACCGCGTAGTCTGATGTTATAGAAGTGTTAAAAACACTGAAATAAAAAAGTCAAATGAAACACGCATTAAAAAAATTGGAAGCAATAAAACATTTTAGCTTCATATTCTTACGAATGACCATTATTAAGGCGACCAATGACATCAGAAAACTAAGCGTTTATGGGGCAAACTTGTGCCCAAAACAAAATAAACAATGCTAGCGTCGCAGGCGTCGATGGCGGCGTTACAGCAGGTCCGAATGCTGGGGCGAGACTGACTCCGTACTGCGCGGCGGGGTTTCTTTTGAGCGGGAGCCCAGGACATTTTACCTCGTTCGCTCCGGTAGCATACAAGCTGGTCATGAACAAGCTACGCGGCCCCTCAGCGTTCTAGAGCCTATGCTTACATAGAGAAAGAAAAAACGAACGGCAAGCGATGACATGATCAATACCACGGCCGTCTGCGTGCGAGCCAAGGGCGCTGCTTACTTGGCTATCTGGGCACGCGGCATTACTCCCCACTCCAAGTGCGCATCGCACCGATGCAATACAAAACAAACAAGGTCAGTCAGTGGTGCGGACAGCTTGACGGAGACTCGAACAAACCGTCTGTAGTAGGCACAGAATCCGAGATATCTTTTTATGGACTTCATGCCACATGGCGTCTAAATATGGCTACAGAGCGCGGCTTCTTGGGGTCAGTGCGAACACCCTCATGGCTCATGACTTGGCCAAGGAGCTTTCGTTCACCATAGGTGAACCGACATTTTGTTGATTTGAATGACAGGCTGGCGGTCCTGATGGCTTGATGCATGGCCCGATGTCATCTCAGGAGTTTATTTGAAATGACGTGAAAATACTACAAGATCATCGACGTAGACGAGGCAGCTCTGCCATTTTAGGTCTGCCAGTACGGTGTCTATGACACACTAGAAGGTGGTTGGTGCTATACAAAGTCCGAACGGCATTACTTTGAACTCGTACAATCCGTCGGGCGTGACGAAGGCAGGTTTCTCGTGTTCGCGTTCGTCATCCTCGATCTGAAGGTGTCTTCAGGTCCATCGACGAAAAATATCGGTAGTGGTGCAGCCGGTCTAAAGTATCGTCAATATGGGAAGCGGGAAGACGTCCGTTTTAGTGACAGCGTTCAGTCGACGACAGCGCACGCAGAACCTCAGGGTCCCGTCCTGCAGCAGTGCTCTTTCAGTAGCCGGAAGCTTCGGGTCAATGTCAAATTCTCAACGCGGCATTCTCTTGTGCTGGGTTCAAGTCGGCTCGTCCGAAAGTTCAGTGATCGCGGCTGAGTTCCAGAGTAAGTCAATGTGGCCCACGGCGATATCTTTTGTCAGGTATCGCCGTGGAAACGACACTGATTCCTCTTTCTAGAACTGAACCCCAGGCAGCACACCAGCGTTGGACCCCCATTGGCCCAATGTTGGCAAAAAATGGTTCCAATATTGGTCTGACGTTGACATTTTCGAAAACGCCACCCGATCCAATGGCGGTCCAACATTGGTGCCAATGTTGAACCACTGGTTTGCCAACGTTCTAGCCCATGTTGGACCAACGTGGTTTGCGCATTTTATCCAATATTGGCATAAGATGTTTGACCGTTGGCTGAACCAACATCGGCATCCAGCGCCTTACACACTGGCTCTTCCAATATTGGCTATTCCTATATTGGCATCCAGTCTAATACACTGGCTATTTTTTTGCATCCATTGGCTATGCCATTCTTGGATGCCATTTTTCACCCAGTGCTGCAACCTTGCAGCACTGGGTGAAAAATGGCATCTAAGAATGGCATAGCCAATGGATGCAAAAAATAGCCAGTGTATTAGACTGCATCAGAAAGAAAACAGTACTAGCTGTTTTCTTTCTGATAATACCAATCTAATAAATGCAGCAAATTTACTGTATGTGGACACTTTAGAAATCATTAAAGCATGCAAATGAATTATTCAAAACGTTTCAGAGTTCATAATTTATTTAAATCAAATAAAAAGATAAAAAAATTGCGTAACCAGGGCGACCTAGGCAGGGTCAGCAGCAGGCTCTGCAGGAGGCTGGGCGGAGGGCTCGGCGGAGAGCTGGGCGGAAGGTTCGGCAATCATTGCCGCAAACCTCCTTTTTCTTCCACCGCCCCGGTCCACAGACCCGGGCAGCCACTTGCCGATGACGGCCAGGGCCGTCGTCCTATCCACGGCTTGCTTCTCGCAAATGGCATCTGCAAGCAGACACCTAACTTTCAAGACAAAATTGACAACTACTTCTAATTCGTCAGTTACAGCTTCAGAATTCAGCGACTCAACCCCAACGCAATTCTTAATATCAACTCTTTCAGTATTACAGATGTACCCAGCAAACTAGTGACTTCTCGCAGGGATTTTTTGTTCTCTCCGCTCGAGTGTATGTCCTGATGGTATACCCTTTTCTTCTGGATACTTCTTGCAGTGCTGCAAGATTGGAGCAGTAGCATTGCCACTGAATTATTCAAAGTCCACGCTAGGCTTAGTAGTCGCCGGGAGGTATATGCAGGACGAGATCTGCTCCTTTTCATTGTCTACTAGACCCCGATTCAAGTTGTCTAAAAATTGTGGCGGCATCAGTGGGACAATGTGAAAATACTGTGGTTATCACCACTGGAGTGGTACGCTGCGTGGCAGGCTCAAATAAACTTCGAGGCCACCCGACTGGAGTTTGCTTGCTTCTCTGCTGTCTGTAGTCATTTACTTACTTAAATCATGTTTTCAAAGCAATATTCTTCCACATGCAGAACGAGTTGTCATGAAATGGGTCCTGTTTATGCTTCAAAACAGCTCACTGACATTGATATGCTTGGTAGAAGAGCGTGTTGGTTTAAGTCATGGATGAAGAAAGAATAAACAATTAAAACAGGGACAACACAACCACATCTTTCAACTAGCAACAGACGAGTAAACTTTCAACAGCGAGCAGCCGACTATACCCAGTAGGAGTAGGGGAGAGAAGGAAAGATAAAACACGCGAGTTTTGCAAGTCAGGGTGGTAGGGTTATCTCGGATTTTAAAAATTCAACTTCAGTTTTCGTCAGCAGGAGGGAAGGGTTGGACACATTGTTTTTTGCTGTGGTCATGGCGAATGATTCTATGATTTCCCTGCCAAATCTGCTGTCATGCCCCCCAAGGATTTTTGTGTCATCAAAGAGGGGATGACAACGCAAACACGAACGGGCATGTATGGCTATGGGATGATAAGAATCTGGAGAGGCCTTAGAAACTTCGTTGTGATGTTCGCGGAGTCTGTGATTGGTGCATCTGCCGGTCTGTCCTATGTATTGATGGCCACAGCTCAAGGGGATGGAGTAAACTTTCTTCTCTTTGCATGGAATGAATTTCTTTTCGTGTTTGACGGTGCAGCCAATTGGAATCCGGTTGTTATTCACTTGTTGACACAGTTGTTTAAGACGCATGCGGCATGAGAAGACAATGGAAAGGATGATTCGCGGGCCTGATCGCCAGTCACCAGCCACAAAAAAGAAAGCCCGATTCGCCGTCATTCCTCACGTACACAATTCAGCCCACCGAATAAAATCCCTTGCCTCAAAGTTCGACACGAATGTTGTCTTCTCGTGCCGCATGCGTCTTAAACTCTGTCACCAAGTGAACAACAACCGGATTCCGATTGGATGCACTGTCAAACACGAAAAGAAATTCATCCCATGCAAAGAGAAGAAAGTTTACTCCATCCCCTTGAGCTGTGGCCATCAATACATAGGACAGACCGGCAGATGCACAATCACAGACTCCGCGAACATCACAACGAAGTTTTTAAGGCCTCTCCAGATTCATATCGTCCCATAGTCATACATTCCCGTTCGTGTTTGCATTGTCATCCCCTCTTTGATGACACAAAAATCCTTGGGGGGCATGACAGCAGATTCGGCAGGGAAATCATAGAATCATTCGCCATGACCACAGCAAAAAACAACGTGTCAAACCCTTCCCTCCTGCTGACGAAAACCGAGGTTGAATTTTTAAAATCCGAGATAACGCTACCACCCTGACTTGCAAAACTCGCGTGTTTTATCTTTCCTTCTCTCCCCTACTCCTACTGGGTATAGTCGGCTGCTCGCTGTTGAAAGTTTACTCGTCTGTTGCTAGTTGAAAGATGTGGTTGTGTTGTCCCTGTTTTAATTGTTTATTCTTTCTTCATCCATGACATTTATATAGGGTCATTTGCGGTGCCATTACATTAATATTGCTGGCCTAGTGACCAAGTTGTAAATAGCAGTAAGACTTTTTACTATAATGAGAAATAGCACACAAAGTGCAAGGTATGAGCTACGAGCACGAGTCACCAGGACGCGTGTTTGGTATAATGCCTGCAACGAATCCAAGAAGAGGTTGGCACATAGCACATACAAAACATGACGTGCCAGCGACCATTTTAATAAAAAAGATAGTCTTCGAACTAAGCCCTTATCCTGGAAAAAAAAAAAGGGTCCGTGCCATAGCGAACTATTTTTTTGACACAAGATTGAGACACTCAAAACAGGTGCATAATGCTTCGAGTCCACTATGTCATTGAATACTTAAGCTGTAATGACTATAGCAAAGCACACTGCCTGCCACTAGCAGTAAATGATGAATTAAGTTTGCAGATCAAAATTTAGAAATATATTACCAATTGCAACTCTGCACAGCTGCATGCTGTTAAATGGCCTCTTCCCCTTCCGCCCGTACAGTGAAAATAGGACTTGGACAGAGTGGCCCATTAAACCTTTCATGACGTTTGCTGTCGTTTCCAGCAGTGTTCTCCCTCCAATTCTGAGGAGCTGCTCCTTCTGCAAAACATGAAAAATGACAAAAGAAGCTAACATTAGTACATTAATCATACACCTTTGCATGTCTTCAAATCCATATCCCAGCACGAATTTTCCACAGGCCAGCACCCACATGTGGGTGGCTTCGGAAAGCAAACGAAGTATGTGTCTTAAAACACAAGTTCCAAATAGACGATTTGCAATTTTCCCAAGCGCCCAGGTCCGCGCGCGAGGAATTGTGGGGAGAGGTTGTCCCTCGCCTGGCCACTGTGCCTTGGGATGGCATTGCCTTGTCTCCTCTTAATCCTGTGTTTTTCGATTCCATTACCTATTTTTTATCTATTCCAGCGTATTTTTTATTGCGTGTGTTCCTATTCTCTTCTGCACGCAATATTTCTGTTATATATACAGTATTTGTGTCTTCGTTGCCTTTTTCGACGGGAGTGCCAACGGACAACACGCTGCTCGCGTGTCGTTACCCGGGTGAGTACTACCGTTGCTACAGATTCCTATCGCGCTGTTAGCTGTTCATTTTGGTTCATTTAACCCGCGTACATGTCATAGGGGTAGGCAGAACTTTGAATCAACAATTGCGACGTTAGAGCCGCTAGTGTCTTGTAATACGCAGACGGGTTGGTGAACTGCAAAAGATGAATGGTCGTTTTTATGAGTTTTCCTATTAAAATATTTCAGTTGATAGTCAGCGCTTGTCCAGAGTGTTTCTTCATCGCCCGCGTCTGTTGTTCGCGCCGTGTCCCAAGATGTTGATTCAGAGCTCTGCCTACCCCTACGACATGTGCGCGGGTGTTCACAAACAGCTCCTCTCGACCGCACGCACGCAGGTCAAATTAACCAAAATGAACAGCTAACAACTCGATGGGAATCGGTAGCAACGGTAGAACTCACCCGGGGACGACGTGCGAAGCGGCGTGTTGTTCGTCGGCACTCCCGTCGAAAAAGGCAAAATAAAGACGTGAATACTATATATATACAAGTATCATGCGCAGAATAGAATAGAAACACTTAAAAGCAATAACAAATACACTGGAATAGATAAAAATAGGTAATGGAATCGAAAAACAGAATTAAGAGGAGACAAGCGACAAGGTAATGCGATCTCAAGGCAGAGTGGCCAGGCGAGGGACAGCCTCTCCCACAATTCCCCGCGCGCGGGCCACGGCCCTTGGGAAAATTGCAATGTTAGTAGTGGGCACTTGTTAGGAAATGGGGGCTTACTCGGTATTTTACAGTAGATACAACTTTGGCTGTAGCCACTGCAGCGCTGATGAAAACCTTGCAGAATCTCCAATCCGGAACATGTTAGTTGTGCAAAGCACATCATCGAAAACCAGGCTGAATGTCGAAATCCGGAACACACTCAGTCGCTCTCGGCGAGTACAAGCACAGGATCGAAGCTGTCGAAGTGTGTGCTTCCATAGTTCCCGTGACATCCTGTCTTCACAATAAACGAGATTTGCGCATGCTTTCCTTCTTGTCAGCACATCCTCCACTTGCATTTTTGAGGGGGCCTGGCAATTCTGGGCTGCTGTCCGGCTTTCTTTTTATATGACGGCTTTGTTGCTGCACGCGGCATGCACCACTGTGGCATCCTGTTGCTTCCTTCGTATATTGTGGATGTGTTAAATGCGTACAGGAGAAAAACAACGTTTTTGAAGCTCAAGTTGGGGGTGCATAATTATGCAAGTGCATTGAGTATGCAAGTAAATATGGTAGACTAGTACTGTAAATATGGTAGAGTACTCTCCACCAATCATTTGTCATTAAAAAAAAATGCTTTCTTCCCCCATTCACTGCTCCTCAGTAGCTGCAATCTTGGTTTTAACCGCTTGGACAGATAAAGCGCCCATACCAAGTTTAAAAGGCAACTCCGCTTCATTTTTGATATTTAGAAAACTATGCAGCCCTCTTCAACATCATATAGGAAGACCTCATGTCAAATATTACGATCTAATTCCGTCTATATATTTAATAAACTGGCCAGCGAACTTTCAAATAAGCCAAGTCGCCAAAATCTGCCAACTCTAGCGTGCGACGTGAGGCGCAATCGTCAGCGCAGTCAATACGACGGAGTTGGAGCACCCAACGATAAGCCACTACGTCAGAGGCATGTCTACGTCATTCTCACGTTTTGTTTGTTTTTACTTCTCGGAGCGAAATTGAACGATGACGTCATGAGTTTCTCCTCCCGGTGTTGGCTCGACGGCGTCCACGTGATCACCGTAACGCGGATGCACTAGTTTGCGCTTCCCGGCGCACTTATCGGTCCGTTTCTCTGCCTCCCCTTCTCCTCTTTCGTCTTCTCCCTCTCCCCCGGGCCGTCACCATCCACGCCATCCGAAGCGACCTGTCCACGTCGCGTGTCCTGTTCCTCGCCCCCACGAACGGCACAAGACCACGTGGTTCGACGTGACGTGGCCATGACTCTGATGACCCGGCCGCGGCCAATGTTGCCTGATGCAACCAAAGTTCCGGTTTCAGCTGATGTTTAAATTAAGATTACACAAATATTATTTCACATTTCGCATATTCGAAGACTTAGAGCTGTTTAGTAGTGCTTTGTGAAATGGAATCACATGTAAGCCTAAATTTTTCGGAATTGAGCGGAGTTGCCCTTTAACCATTTCTTCAGCAGAAGAGGGGTGGGCGCTTCCTCAGTATTGTACAGTAGGTGGACAATTTAAAAATCAAAGATAGTGTGTAACAGCGCATAGCAATACAAGATAGGGATAGAGAGAATCAAGATGTTGTTATTACCAAGACTGTGGCTACAGCCTCGTCGTGAATGGCTGCCTCCGCTGCTTCCAGCTCCTCCAGGGTGCTGGCTGGCAGCCTCGGAAGTTCCCGTGGAAGAATCGCAGCCGTCGGGATCGGTGCAGCTTGCCCCGTTGGCACCTCTAGAGCTGCTATTTGGTCCGACAGCTGCTGGACATCCAGCCTCAGCTGCATAGTCTCGTGCTGCATCTCACGGTTCTGGTGGCGGAGTTCCACTAGCAGGTGGATGATCCGCAGCTGGGCACCTGAAACACAAGCAAATATTTCCTTGTGAGATGCCAGCGCTCAGTGCCCTTTGCCCACGAAAATATAAAAAGTAAAGCCCTGCCAAGCATGGTGCGACAATGCAGCGCAGCTAATACGAAAAAAATGGGCTGCTGTAATTTTCGTATAAAGCACATCACAAGGGAGCTTCGGGGCAGCGCAGTGGACAATGGTCAAGTGGTTCAAACAGCAGAAATCAAGCACTGATTTAAGGGGGGACACGGCTCCTTGAAACGAAAGAAAAAATGAAAAAAAGAATCACATTTTTGAAACTATGTTTTTTAACATCTACAGGTATTTTCGCATCTTTTCTCTAAGTATTATTGCAAAATATGCCCTATTTATTTTGGAGTATTGATTTGAAGTATCTAAACGGAGATGCTTCCTCCCAAACAAGCAAAAAAAATGGTACGATTTGACCGCCTTTAGCTCGAGAACAACGCGATAGAAGGGAGACATCTTGGTCTCATTTGAAAGCTCCGTTCCCGCTCTTTCTTCTCCCGCCATTCACGATGCTAGACGGCGATTGGCCGCTGAGAACGAAGCACAAATAAAAAAAGTGGAAGCCGTTTACAAATCCCTGTAACGCCGAATTGGAGCGCAGCTCTTGAGGAGGAGGAGTGAAGGGTACTGAGGGGAGGGTAGACCCCTCCTCCTCCCCTCATTCTTTAATATGCTCCGGGGGGGGCGGTCACGTGACCTCGGGGGGAGGGGGGGGTGTCACGTGACTTCGGGGAGGGGGGTCACGTGACCTCGGGGAGGGGGGGTCACGTGACCTCGGGGGGTCACGTGAGCTCAGAGGGGTCACGTGACCTCAGAGGGGTCACGTGACCTGGGGGTCACGTGGGGGTCACCTTGGGGTCACGTGACCTTGAGATGACCTTGGGAGGGGTCACGTGACCTTGGGGGTCACGTGACCTTGGGGGTCACGTGACCTTGGGGAGGAGACCACGTGACCTCGGGGGTCACGTGACCTCAGAGGGGTCACGTGACGGGGGTCACGTGACCTTCAAAGGGTCACGTGGGGTCTTGGGGTCACGTGACCTTGAGATGACCTTGGGAGGGGTCACGTGACCTCGAGGGGTCACGTGACATTGGGAGTCACGTGGGGTCACGTGACCTTTAGATGACCTTGGGGGGGGTCACGTGACCTTGGGGGTCACGTGACCTTGGGATGACCTTGGTTACGCCGACGGCGACGCCGACGGCGACGGCGACGGCGACGGCGACGCCGCTCAAGCCGGGAACGGGCCCCTAAGAGCTGCGCTCTAAAACTAAATCTTGCCACGCTGTTGGCTGTTTCGGATCATGTGTGCAAATGACGCTTTCTCATTGGCTGTTAGGGTTACGCAGCGTCTGCTCGTTGTTTCCGATCCGCCACCTTGTTTGATTCTCGTGCGCGTCTCCGACCATGCCGAGCACAACAACTCCACGGAAAAAGTTTCAAACGGCCCACAAGTTTGGAAAAAAACGGAAAAAAAAAGGCCTGAGGAAGCTAATCCACGGCGCAGTTCAGCTTCCCGCGAGCCTGAACGTCGACGACGAGGTGCGGGAGCCCGAACACGAAGATGACGCATCGACGGCGCCGTCGACATTGGTGACTTCAAGCGAGCGAGTGCGGCTCGACACTGTGATGCTCAGCGCTTCCGAGATCGACGAGAAAGAAAAAAAAGCAGAGGAAAAACTCAAAAAACTTTCGTCGACGCGGAAAGCTGCTCTGATGGCTGGCGTCTCGGGCGCCGATCAAGAAGCTCCCTAGAGTACAGAGGGTTCCATCGTGGTAAGCCTCGACGTCGTGAACGCGCTCCTTCAACTCGCGAAGTTTGTTGCGGCGATGTCGAACTCATAAAATGCGATCACGACTATGGACTTGCAGTAAATCTCCTGGTGGCTACTAAACCTCTACCTTGTAGATAGATGAAGAATTTTTGGAAAGTGCAGTAAAAATATGTACGAGAACGTTTTTCGCTGTTTTCTCGAAATGAACTTTTTGCGCAGTTTGTTATTTTGCGGAAGCCGTATCTCGGCCTGTACACAACCGATCTTCCTAATTCTTTCTTTCTTTGTTAGGTGTATAAGTGGGGTCTAATTGCATCATCCTAGGCATCAGTATTTTTTGTTAGCACCTCGAATATATTGTAAAAAATAATTTATAAACTGAAAATTTCGAAATGCTGTAAAAACGTTATAAAAAATCATGGAGCCTTTATTTATACCTTATTGGATTCTATAGACCTTCTAGTTTACAGAGATATATTCCTTTTTGAGTTTCGTCATCATAATTTTTTGGAATCTCGCCCATAAAATGTTTAAATAAAAGAGTTAATTTTATCAAAACTAACCAAGCTATTTTGAAACAAAGTAAATATTTGTCATCAGAATGGGAAGATGATTATGCTCTATAAATTTCATTTGGGCTGGACCGTAAATAAGAAAAAAACCTCAAGAAGCAGTGTTCCCCTTTAACTGAAAGGTCTCAAAGCCTTTACATGCATGCATTTTTGCTACGATTCTTTTGAAGAGACGGACTTACATTTAGAGGTGCCGTAGGTTCAGTGACAAATATAAAATGAAATATTTATATATAATAACAGAATTAAGGACTATAAAAATAAATGAAGCATAGTAAATGGCAACTTCAGCGGTTCATAGGCTGTTTAACGAAACATACAATAGCGATCAGCTTTTTAGCACCAGCTGCGAGATGTTCGTAGTCTCCGCATCCGGGGGGGGGGGGGGGGGGGGGGGGGTTGGTAGCTTGTTTTTGGAGGCCTGATCCTGATACCGCCCCAAGTGCAGGCCCAACAAAATAAACTCCCCATTGTTAAACAAAAACTTAGATTGCAGGAGAGCTTTTTTTCTAAGTAGAATCAAAACGAAGCAGGCTTTTCTCTAGATCCCCAATAATTTGGGTGAGCTTTTCTCCCGGTTTTGTTTGAACACAAACCACTTGGTGATTTGCAAAGGGTGGTTCCATCAATCTTCTAGGAAGCACAGCCTTACTGTTTGCATTTCCTGGCAAAATTAAGCCTGAGCAAGGAAGAAGATGGTACAGTCAGCCAGGCACATAGCCAGGATTTTGTTTTGGGGGTGGCCCGCCCAAGTAGCACAGAATTTTCTAAAATCATCGGCCATGCCTCGGCCATTGCTAGGCCAACGATCAATTTGGTCGGCCACCGGCAAATCCTCGGTGGACAACCAAAAACCATGGTCGGCAAAAGCGAGGCCGCCGATGCCTCGAATTCAGCTCGGCCATTGGCAAAGGGCAGTGCTCGGCAAACTCCCGGCCATCCAAGGTATTTTTTTACATGTTGGCCACCAAGGAAGGGCCTAGCCCGGCATTTGCCCAGTGGCCAAGGCCTTGTTTTCACCTCGGCCACAGGGCAAAAAAACGAGGGCCGGCATTCGCCAGGCCACCGAGGTCTTGTTTTCACCTCGGCCATTGGGCAAAAAACAAGGACCGGCATTTGCTAGGCCACCGAGGCCTTGATTTCACCTCGGCCATTAAGCAAAGACCGAGGGCCGGCATTTGCTAGGCGACCGAGGCCTTGTTTTCACCTCGGCCATTGAGCAAAGAACGAGGGCTGGCATCTGCTAGGCCACAAAGGTATATCCGAGGGTCGTTTTCAGCCTGGCCATGGAGCAAATACCGACGCGGCATTAGCCTGGCCACAAATGTATAACCGAGGTCTCGTTTTCACCTCGGCCATTGGGCAAAAAACAAGGGCCGGCATTTGCTAGGCCACCGAGGCCTTAATTTCACCTCGGCCATTAAGCAAAGACCGAGACACCGGCATTTGCTAGGCCACCGAGGCCTCGATTTCACTTCGGCCATTGAGCAAAGAACGAGGGCCGGCATCTGCTAGGCCACAAAGGTATATCCGAGGGTCGTTTTCAGCCTGGCCATGGAGCAAATACCGACGCGGCATTAGCCTGGCCACAGATGTATAACCGAGGTCTCGATTTCACCTCGGCCATTGGGCAAAAAACAAGGGCCGGCATTTGCTAGGCCACCGAGGCCTTGATTTCACCTCGGCCATTAAGCAAAGACCGAGGGCCGGCATTCGCTAGGCCACCGAGGCCTTGATTTCATCTCGGCCATTGAGCAAAGAACGAGGGCCGGCATCTGCTAGGCCACAAAGGTATGTCCGAGGGTCGTTTTCAGCCTGGCCATGGAGCAAATACCGACGCGGCATTAGCCTGGCCACAAATGTATAACCGAGGTCTCGTTTTCACCTCGGCCATTGGGCAAAAAACAAGGGCCGGCATTTGCTAGGCCACCGAGGCCTTGATTTCACCTCGGCCATTAAGCAAAGACCGAGACACCGGCATTTGCTAGGCCACCGAGGCCTTGATTTCATCTCGGCTATTGAGCAAAGAACGAGGGCCGGCATCTGCTAGGCCACAAAGGTATATTCGAGGGTTGTTTTCAGCCTGGCCATGAAGCAAATACCGACGCGGCATTAGCCTGGCTTTGTTTTCACCACGGCCATCGAGCAAAAAACAATGTGACATTTGCCTGGCCACAAAGGCATAGCCGAAGGTCATTTTCACCTCGGCCATGGGGCAAATAATGCTAGCTGTGGCATTTTCATTGCCACTAAAGGTATAGCAGACGGCAGTTTTGTCCTCAATCTAAAGGCAAAATAACATGCGAGAACAGATGTTTGTGTTTGTAGGTTCATCATGTTGCAGGCAACAATACTCAAGCTCTAGGCATCACTGTAATGCACTCAAGGCACTGGGGTAGATCAGCTAGGAGGCATTTAGATTGAGGTCTTTGTGATCTGAACATCATATGACGCACCCAGTCTTATTGAACCTTCATGTTAATGCACCTGCTGCTTCGCTGTGCAAAAAGAAAAAAGATTGACAAAACCTACCTAGTTGCAATTGCTCATGATAATCAAACTCTAGGCTAAATTGCAGTTGCATTAGGTTTCCAACAACTACCTCCGAAGTCTGGCACAAATGATGTGCAATGTTTCTTGTCACCCCGTAAGAAAAAAATTGGTGTCATTTACAGTGTATGTTATCTACTATAGTCGGTTACAAGTCAAGAAGGTAGGAGAAG